GCAAGGAGAAATTCTCTCTCTCTCTCTCTCTCTCTCTCTCTCTCTCTCTGTCTGTGTGTGTGTGTGTGTGTGTATGTCTGTGTCTTACTGGGGATGAAACCCAGGGTTCTTTATAAACAAGGGCTTTCCACTGAGATATATATCCCTAGTCCTAATTTCTAAATTATGATATACATTTCCTCCATTCTGATATTTTTAGTTGTGATCTTTAAAATATTTATTTATTTACTTACTTATTTCCTTATTGGTTTTTTGAGAAAGACCTATAGCCCCAGCAGGCCTAGATCTCACTATGTATATGTAGACTAGGCTGGCCTCAATCTCACACAGATCCACCTGCCTCTGCCTTCCAAGTGCTGGGATTAAAGGCGTTCTCCACTACACTTGGGAGATTTATTTATTTTTAATTTTTTATGTATATGAGTGCTTTACCTGCATGTCTATCAGTGCACCATCTATGTGCAGCACCCATGGAGGCCAGAAAAGGTATCAGATCCCCTGGAACTGGAGTTAGAGACAGTTGTTAGCTGCCATGTGGCTGCTGGGTAACAAACCTGGGTCCTCTATAAGAGCAGCCAGTGCTCTTAACCATTGAGCTGTTGCTCAAGCCCCTAATTATGATACCTGGAAGCCATAAGATTTACCAAGTTAAATATTAAGTGTGTGGTTTAGTGGTGTTAAATATATTCATATTGTGAAACAGATTTGAAATTTTTCACTTGGTAGATCTGAAACCATGCCCATTAAAGGACTTCATTCCCACCTCCAACCACTTTTCTAGTTTCTCTATCCAGGAATTTGACTGTTTTAAATATCTGATATAACTATATTTATGTAGTATTTATCTTCCTGTGATTGACATGTCTTTTATCATAATGTCCTCAAGGTTCATCCGTGTTATAGTATGTGATAGAAATTCTTTCTTTTTAAAAACTGAATAATAATTCCACTCTATCTACATACATCATTCAAATTTCCAATAAATTTAAGAGTAATATCCCAGCACTATGATATGAAGACTTCTGATTATATGACCCTGTTTACCAAACATGCTTGAGCAAGGACCATTAAATGCTTGTGGTACATGTAGTACTTGTTTATTTTCTTCCTCTTTGATGTCTCTCCCGATCTTTTCCTCTCTTCTCTGCTCCTGTGTCTCCTCATTTTCTGCCCCTGCTACCTACCCTGCCTGCTGCTGTTTTGCCCTTTTCCTTCCCTCCACCTTCTACTTATCAAAACGTCTAATAGAACCTGGGGTATTTTCTTTCTATATTACAGTGAATCATTGCACACATCAACTACTTGAAATCTGCTTTGGTATATGATTTGCAGAAAAACCACTACTTTCTATTGAAATATTTATACATTTAATTTTTGCATATTTATAAAGTGGGTACAAATTATTACATGAGGTAATGATTCTAGGAGGATCCTGTGAGTGAAACATTCTTGGATCTGGGTAGTACATGTCAATTTTTTGAAAAATCATTAATCTTATTCTTTGACATTTAAGAGGTACATTTGTTTAACTCATTCTTTAGTATTTTCTTTTTGGGATGTTTTAAAGTATACTTGTAACATTATTTAACTTTTATGCGTGTATGCACATACTTTTGTACTAATTGCACTTTGTATCTAAAGTACCCCTGATGATAGCGGAAAAGTGAATATATGTCCCTTAAAAGACTCAGCACTTAGACTGAATTATCTTACCAAAAGCAAGAAATGGATCTGAAATCGATCTATTTATATAAAACTTATGTGACTTTTATCTTCCCATATCTGCATTTTCTTCAACATAAAATGCTTTAAGTCCTGAGTTGAATGATGTACCTTCTCTCCTCTCCTGCATTTGGGACTAAGTTTGAAGATCCTCCATTAGGAAGTTTTTTGTGCTCTTTGGCATACTCACTAGGAGCACCATAGATAAGTGGGTTTTAGGTTGGGAAGTTGGGAGTGACACAGTTCTGCTGATTATGTTCAGACTGAAAAGAGATAATGTTTATTTTTAATGTAAATTTTATTATATTTTTGTGCATTTCATACAAAACATCTTAACCATCATTATAACCCCTCCCCCATCTGTACCCCTCTAAAAGCAGCCCCCACCAGATTTGGTGCATTCTGTCATATTGTTAAGGCCTATTGTGTCAAGTTATTGCACCCAGATGTCCCTTGGTGGAAGTTCATCCACTGGGGTCTTGTCAGCTTAGCTAGAGTCTCTGCCTTAAAGAGATCAGCTCTTCCTCACCCAGCAGTAATCAGATGCCAATATTTCTTCAGCTAAAGTTGGAGCTTGCTGCCCATTTCCTCAGTTCTAGACTGGGTTTTTGTCTGATTGAGTTTGCATGGGTCTTGTACATGCTGACACCATTGCTGTAAGTTCATTTGAGCAATGTCCCAGGAGCCTATAAGACATTGTTTCCCTATGGTTATGCAAGGAAGTAATGTTTAAATCTGGGTACAAAATAGTAATTTCCATTGTATGTGCTTTAAAATGCTAAACTGGGGCTGGAAAGATAGCTCAGTAAAGTGTTTGCTGTGCAAGCATGAAGATCTAAGTACATCTCCAGAACCCATATCAAAAAGCCAGACATGGTGGCACCTGCCTATTATCCCAGTATTAGGGATGGAGAGATGGCGGCAAGTAGATTCTTGGGGCTTGCTGGGTGGTGTTCCTAAAGAATGATACCCAAGGTCGTCTTCTGGCTTCCACATGCATGTGTACACACATGCACACACACCCTTACATGTACAGCCTTACAGGTACATACACTCACACACACACATACAGGCACACAAAAGAAAAAAATGAAAAAAAAATGTTCAGTAGACTTCCCTTTAGGTTTTTATTAGATTTTTATTTATTACTATTTTTGTTGTTATAGAGGGTTACCACTGCTGTTTTGATGCACACTTGTGGTGTACTTTGGGCATATTCACTCCCTCTCATACATACTGTTCTTTCCCTTCTCGCCTCTGCCCCTCAGGTTTTCTTTTCCTCACAGTAATTTATGTGTATTAACAAATCCTGTAATACAGAAAAAATTATTATAGAGAGCAGTGTTATCTTTCTTAGTCCACTGGTTTCCCATTCCCATGCCTTAGATGTAGCCCCTTAACCATTTCTCCATTTCTATTTGAGTTCTTTTGGGAGTTGCTTTTACGTTTCTAAAAATGCATAGTACAGAAGGTACTGAGGGTCCAGGAAGAGATTCCCAAGAGAAGGAGGGAATATTTGTCTACATAATCTACTATTTTGACATATACACCTACTTTTTTGTGGTCTTTTTTTAGACAGGGTCTCAGGAGTAGCTTCTGTAAATCAAAGTAACTAAGAATTAATTTTTAAATTCTATGTCGTTTACTGATTCTGTCTGCCTTTTCCCCTGTGCATTTCTTTGTTTTTTGTTAGCCACTTTTTAGCCTCTCCACTTCTTTTACATGATTTAAAAGGTCTACATCTAGTTTGTTTCATTTTAGTTGTAAAACATGTAAACTTGAGTGTTCATTATCAAATGTTAATAAAAGCACAGTTTACACAGATTAAAATATGTAAGTTTAATAATTTTCTAGATTAAGTAACAATGGTATCAATATTGAGTAACATTTTAGGATATTAATATTTTATTCATCTTTCCTCTTTTCTTACATAACAGTTACCAACAATCTAAATTAAATTTAGATTATCTTGCTTGATATATCATGTGCATGTTGTAGCTGCTAGCTGAATAGCTTCAGATGATAAATCAAAATTACATTATACATAGATACTTACATCCCTTTGGTAGGTAAGTAAATCCCATTGGTACCATTGGAAGAAAATATTGTGTACCTAAATGTGAATTGTCTGCCTGTATTGGGTCATGCCTATGTCTATAGAACCCTTGATTTTCTACAGGTGACTTGTATTTTATGACTTAAATGTTGATGAAACATTTGTACAGGCTGTGGAACTGCAGCCCAGTGGTGGAGTTCTTGCCTAGCATATGAAAGGCCCTGATTTTGATCACCAGCATCACAAAAACTAAAAACAAAACAAAAAAGTCCAATATGACTTTTCCTTTTCAAATGTTGCTATCTTTAGTGTTCTAGAGTAAAATAGTTAGAGAATACTAATTATAGAGAAAGCAAAACAAAGATTGCATTTTTTGTTCTGTATAATTCTGTTGACTAGAAAATTCTATCACTGAGACATTTTTTAAGTTGTAATAAATTTAGTTAACTATGGAACTAAAAATTTAAAAAATATTTTCTAATGAAAAAATGTAATTTTGTATGTCCACATGAGACAAGTTTATTGGTAAATAATCTCGAGTGTGTTGTTGCCTTTAATTCATATTAACATTCTGTCATTTTCTTTACAAAACAAAGTAGGGTACTGGGTTTGGAGTAGCTCACTCATAGAATGTATGCTTAGCCTGCATGAGTCCCTGGTTTGAAACCCTAGGTGGCTGGGTTTGGGGCAGCTCCTTGGTAGAATAGAATGTATGCTTAGCATGCTTGTGTCCCTGGTTTTAACCCCCAGTGGCTTTCTTCCCCCTAAAAACTGTGAAGTAGAAGGATTTTGGAAAATTCCTATCATGATCCTAGCTAAATTGTGGAGTGGTTTATAGGTAGATATTATGCCTGTTATCCTATACATACAACGGATAAATTAGCATTCAGAGAATTATGGGTAAAAGCAGAGGATGCTATGTAAAGTGGGTTTTTTTTCCCCTTGCTTCATCTACCTACTTTCTTACCTGCTTTATACTTTCATCATCATATTTTGGTTCTTTTTATGTTGTTTGTAGTTATCTTTAGCTCATATAAAGATGATAATTGAAAATAGTGTTTACTTTAGTAATACTTTGTTTTCTTCATCATTTCTTCAGTAGTCGAAGAAGGAGAAAAACAAAACAAAGGTTTTAGTCCATCAAAAGTATCTTGTAGAGAGTCTTCCCCACTGGCCTCTTCCTCACTACCAGTAAATCAAGAGTCACTGACAATCAAGGAGAAGTTCATCCCACCTGAGCTAAGTATCTGGGACTATTTCATAGCCAAGGTAATAAAATATTACTCCACAGAGCAATAGTAACACAGTCAAATGGAAATGAACGCGCTTAAAATAATTAATTGTTGGTACTTGTAAATATATTCCCAGTCTGGTTTTGGAAGTTTTCATTCGTATCAGGGTACATTCTACAATACAAAACAAAAAAGCCATGGAATGTTTTGGCCATATAGCCAACCAGTTTTTATAGCAGTTATTGATCATTTATGACTCTATGTTTCAAACTAAACAAAGTTGATAAAAGAGAACTTTTTAGTTAACACCTGAATGATATGTACAGTCAAACAGAAGCAAATACAGAAGTCAGAGTGTTCTGGTCATCTGTTACCCATGCTTAGTCTCTCTCTCTCTCTCTCTCTCTCTCTCTCTCTCTCTCTCTCTCTCTCGGAGATCAAACTCAGAACCGCATGCAAGCCTTCTACCACTGAGATAAATCCATAGTTCCTCATTCATTTTTAATATTGTAGTCTACCCTGAGTTTTGACAGGCACTAATTTCATTTCCTAATATTTATTTAAATAGCATTATTCTCTCAGATTGAGTTTACTACAATATATTATATGTGAATAATTGCATAAAGTGCATACTCCCTGGTACCTATATATCACTGATAATGTATGCATGCAGTGATAAGCAGCCAGTCATATCAGGTCTCTCAAAGTCTGTTAGTGATTGATCACTCAGTTCATACACAGATATCACAGCATGGATTTTGCCTTCTTGTTTCCCAAGATATATCTCCTGTGGGACATTTTACATAATTGGATAATCAGAAGAAGGAACTGGCCACTGAGATGAAAGTGTATCAGAAAACTAAAAAGTGGTATGCTAGAAAGAAATTCAGATTGAATATAAATGGAATTATAGAAAAAATAGCTAACTGTGAGAATATTGGCATTGATGCTGTTTGAAAGATTATAGATAGGCAGACAGAAATTCAGTGATTCTAAATATATCATAAATATTGAAGATAAGTTTGAGAAAAGGATGAAAAAATTTCAGAGGTAGTGACTTCACTCTCAAAAACTTTACATTAAATCTGGGTGTGATTGCCACGCTTTTAATCCTAGCTGTCCACGATGGGTGCTGGGAACTGAACTGAGATCGTCTGGAATCTTAACCTCATAACTATCTCTACAAGGCCCCATGATTTAGATTTAAACTTCAGGTTTTCAGTCTTTAAGAAGTTATTTTCTTTTTCTTGATGTTTTTTGTTTTTTTTTTTTTGTTTTTATTAAATTTTTGTGTATTTCGTACAGAACTTCTCAAACATAATTTTTCTTCCAAGTCATTAGCATTGTTTTGTAGAATTTCTGCTTACATCATTTTTGTTTTTCCAATTTCGCTCTACTATACAAAGCTTTAGCAATCCTATATGCAAAAAAAGCAATTCTTCAGAAATGAAAGTGAAATAGAAAGTGAGAAAAAGACAAATTCCCTGCATTACCTAAAGCATTCATCTGAGAAAAAGAGGGCCACAGCTTAACAAGCCAGGAGAAGTGGTATCAGAGATTAACTGGATGCCAATTAATGCAAGGCAATATGGAAAACACCCAGAAGTTGAGAATGAAAGAGATTTTGCTATTAACAGAAAAAAGCAGAAGAAATAGACAGTCCTAGCTTTGTATATATTCATTTGCCTATACAATCCCCACTCTGATCAAAATAGCAAATATTTCCAGCATGCTGAAGTATTTTTATACCTCGCCCACCTTTTGATACTTATCAAACTGCTACTTTTCATACAAAATTCTTTCTCAAATAAAAACCCTTCTATACACTGCTTCCACTGCTCAACTTCTCAGCTCTTACTGTTTTCCCTCTTAACTCTTTCCCCCCCTCCTTTGAGTCACTTAATATCTATATATTTTTTTTTTTTAAGTTTTTTTTTGTTACTTATCTTTACTGCAAAACTATAAAGTCTTTTCATTGAAATGGCTGTATTTCTCTTTAAAGTTCTTATGGAAGATGGCCTATAATTCCAGGACTTGAGAAGTTGAGGCAGGAAGAAGATCACAGGTCCAAGACTAGAATGGGCTGTACAGTGAGACCTTGTCATGGGGGTCAAGGAGAGATGTATCTATATGGAGATACACATGTATCTTCAGTAAACTTTTGGGCCAAACTTAAGAAATTTAAGAAATTTTTGTTGAATGAATAAATAGATAGGAAGTGGAAGTTGTATAAAATTATATCAAAGACATAGTGTGGGAAATAATTTTACTTATAATGAATTATCTGCAAGTGGGATGAATTATATGTTTGGATATATTAAATCAGATGCTTGGATGATAAGTTGTACAACTTCTGTTTCAGCCTTTTCTACCCCCTTCCCAAAGTAGAGCAGAGTATGATTCAGAGGAGAGTCTGGAAAGTGATGATGACGATGATGACGATGCTTTACCCTCAGACTTCCATCACCAGGAGCATTCAAACTCAAACTCATACAGGTCTGGAGTATTTCATTTTAAGCTTCTTTTAAAAAATTATCATGGCCCATATAAATAATATATTTTTTAAATAACACATGTGAGGGACTAGAGAGATGGCTCAGCAGTTAAGAGCACCAACTGCTCTTGCAGAGGATCCAGGTTCGATTCCTAGTACCCACATGGCAGCTACAAAGCATCCTTAACTCCAGTTCCAGGGGAGTCCAAAGCCCTCTTCTGATCTCCACAGCATTGCACAACACAGGTGCAACTCACATACATGCAGGCAATACACTCATACACATAAATGAAAGTAATAGAATAAAATATTAAAAACATAAAAGTAATAACTTGCTGAAGTATCACAGATTATAATTCATGTTTCTATAATTGAAATTCTTAAATTCCTTTCTTGTCTTTTTGGTTGTGAGCCTGAGCCTTTAACGGCTGCACCAGCTCTCCAGCCCTTAAATTCCTTCTTTAGCAACAGTTTTCAAAACTTTTGATTACCCATGGATAAACCATTATATTTTGTAGCACTTCTGCCTTCACATTATGCTTTGTTTTTTGTCCCTCCAAGATAAATTCCATGATTTTAGCCAATAACATCAAATGTCTGGCTAGGAGAGCACTAGTCCTATAAAATGTCTTTAAAAGGGTTTCTATATAATATTAAAAAAGCCCTAAGTGTTCACAGCACCCAACCCAATTTTGAGTGATGCATTATCCTTACATTCATGGGTAAACCTCTTCATATGTTTTTTTTATATAGGAATGCTAATATGTTTTATTAAGATATGGCATCTAAGTGGTGGGCTAATGTAAATTTTTGAAAAGAAATGAGTATATTTCTGGACTGTAACTCCTTCATTGAAAAATTACAATATTTTCGCTTACTGGTATTTTTTTTCCTGTTTAATAAAGTTTGCTTTTTGAATACATAAACATTTTTGTGACTCAAAAGCCAAACTCGGTAATAAAAAACAACCCAACTAAAAACTGACCAGGATAGGGCATTACCATGCATGTGTGAAACCCTGGGATCAATCTCCAGTGTCAGGGGAAAAGAAAAAAAAAAAAATTGCCAAAGGGCTTGAGTAGATACTTCTCTAAATAAGACATGTAAGTGACCAGTAAACACCAGTAAACATTTTGCTCCAATTATTAGCAAAATGCAAGTCAAAATCACAGTGGGATGCCATCTCACACCCATTATGGTGGCTACTACAAAAATAACAAAATAACAATGTTAACCAAGATACAGAGAAAGTACATCCTTTGTGCCCTTTTGGTAGGAATATAAGATGGTACAGCCACTTAGCAAAATGGTAAAGTGGTGGTTTCTTGAAAACTTAAAAATATAATTACTATATAATTTGGTAATTCCACTTCAGGTCTATCCCCAAAGAACTGAAGAAGTGCAAACAGATACCTGTCCATCCATTTCCCAACAGCACTATTCAAGTAGTCAATGGGTAGATGCAATCCGAGTATCTGACAGATATCTGAATAAGCAAAATGTAGTACATACATAAGTAGAAAGTTATTCAGCTTTAAAAAAGAAGAGAATTTTGATACATGCTTCAAAATGGATGAACCTTGAGAACATTATACTGAGTAAACTAATTCAGTCACAAAGTTGATAGAGTATGATTCTTCATGAAATGCTTAGAATCATCAAAATAGAGACTAGATGAGGAAAGGTAGTTTTGTTGAATTAGTGAAGTTATAGTCTTGTACCATGAAGAGCTCTAGAAATTGATGCTGATGGTGGTTGTGTAATAGTGTAAACATAATTGTTGTTGAATTGTAAGAATGCTTACAATGATAAATTTTATGTTGTATGTGTTTTGTTGGAATTAATTAAAAGTCAATACCTTAAGACATGCACATATCTGGCTTAAAATTAAAGAGAAACTGGAAATAATTTTAAGTTCAACTATGTAAAAATGTAAAGTTGGAAGCCTCATATTTTCTCTTCTGCTCAATTTTCCCTTAAGCCTCCACAGATAGCCACTTTTATTTGTTTCTCTATCTTTCTGATTGCAAAAAATAAGTGTATATTATTTCCCATGCTTTCTTGCATAAAGGACGGCACATTATATATAGTGTCCTGAAGTCTGCTCTTTAAATAAATTATTTTTTAATTTTACTTATTTTTTTTTTATGTGTATTAGTATATTGTCTGCATGTATATAAATGCACCTGTGTCATGCAGTGCCTGCAGAGGTCAGAAGAGGGTTTCGGATCCTCTGAAACTACAGTTAGGATAGTTATGTTGTCATGTGGGTGCTGGGACTCAAACCCAGGTCCTGTGCAAGAGCAGCCAGTGTTCTTAACTGCTGAACCATTTCTCCAGCCCACTTTTAAAATTATTAATGCATACTGAAGTTTTCTCAGTATTAATACTTCATTTTAATGTTACTTTAAAGTTCCACCCTTAAAACTCTTAACTGTTTAACCAGTACTCTCCTGATAGGCAGTTAGGTTATTTTTACTCTTATGCTTTAGGTAATGCTGACATGAATAACTACGTGTGTGTGTGTGTGTGTGTGTAAATTTGGTTTTTAGAGATATATCGTTAGGGTAGATTCTCTGTAGTGAAATTGTGTCAGAGGGTGGTATCCCTTCTAGAGCCACACGTAAATCTTGACAGAGCCACTTTTATTGTATTTTTAGTTGGTCGTTGATGCGATTGGCTATGGTGCAGTTGGTGCTCAACAGTCTGAAGACTTTCTATCCCTTTGCAGGTCATGATCTTGCAGGTAATAAATATCTTAATATGAACTAATGGTAGCATTATTTTGGTTTAGTCTTCTGTATATAAGCTTTTTTTTTAAAGAGGAAAAAAAAGCTTAATGACTTCCTATAGTAAAATATAGTTTTTTTTACATGATTTTTAAATTTTTCTATCATATTATTAGATGATGAGGAGGGAGATGCTCAAGAAATTAAAGGCCCTGAACGTGATGTGATTATATTGAGACTGTTGCTCTACCTGGAGGTTGAGGGACTTAATGATGGCTGAACCTATAAACCTCTAAACACAATAATTAACTCAAAAGGAGGAAATGGGTGTACAGGAAAGAAAGGAATATGATAGTATGCAAGATGTTTCAGCTTGATGTTTCTCATATATACATCTATAAAATAAACATTGCAATACCAGTTTTATACAAAATCTTATGACTGTTGGAACAGTGGTGAGAGGAGAAGCTTATTTTCATACTCTAGTGTGATAGTTCAGATCACTTTCAAAATTAAAAATGAAGAATGTGAGGAGAGAAATAAAAATAGGTACAATTTGAAAGTAGGATTGGCAACTCAGTAGTGTGAAAGAGTACAGCTGAATGGTGTTTAGTTTCATGGTAAGGATTATTTAACTTTTTTGAAACTTTCTTAATATCTTTATTTTCTAAACAAAACTTAGATGACACGCTGGTCTCTTACAAAGATTAAAGCAGTTGATTTTCTTCCATAAATATTTTCGCAATTTCATAATGTGCATTTTATGTACATTTTTCAAACTAGCAGATTCTGTGCCCATATACCCCTGCTAAATTGTGTTTGTATCTTATTTCAGGCTTTCTTACATTTTACTGCAGAATGTAACTGTGGATCAATTATGTTTTCCATTTTTAGAGTTACCAGTTAGTTCACCTCTTTGTCATGCAGTTCTGAAAACTCTTCAGTGTTGGGAACAGGTTCTTCTCCGACGACTTGAAATCCATGGTGGACCCCCTCAAAACTATATCTCTAGCCACACCTCTGAAGAGAGTGTGTCTGCAGGCCCTGCCATTCTCCGCCACAAAGCTTTACTAGAACCTACAAACACTCCTTTCAAGTAGGTTTTACTATGGATACTACTTTTCAGTAGGAGTTTTATGAATCAGGTTGTTCTTAGGTAACATTTAAAATAAAAACACTTGGGGGCCACACTTGAGTATCTATGGCTTTGTGTAATGTTTTCAATAGTTTCAGAGGTTAGTGAGCTTTTCTAGTGAAAGACTGTATTTTTAGTCTTTTTAAGCTGTCTTGTCATGACTACATAACTTTGGTACTGCAGACTAAAAACACCAGTAGACTCATATAGCAGAGGAGGCTTGGTTGTGGGCCTGTAAACTTCAGTCTTTGAAAATAGGGAATAGGCATTAGATAGGGCTTGAGGACTACACTTTGATTCCTACTCTGCAGTGGTGTAAGAGCTAGTCAGGATCTGTTTTACTATTCATGAGGACAAAATGATTGAACCTAAAGCAAGCAGTGCTTGCTTCATCTAACAGTGTGGATAGTACCTTAGTGTCATTTTTGGTTTATGTTCTTGTAGAAGCTGTTAACTCATGGTCGATCAGTAACAAAGGGTTTATGGACCCTACAGACAACATTTTCAGTGACACTGTTTATACTTCCCTTTTAGGAAACATAACTCTCCCTAGTTTAAAGATCAGCAAATGATGACCAGACCCACTAGGCAAAATCCAGCTCTGCTCCTGCTTTTGTCAATAAAATTTTATTAGATCACAGCCATAAATGTCATTTGCATATTAGGATAAAGCTGTGTGAACAAATGTCTCTAATGAAGAATCCAAAATCCAAAACTTATTGGGTGTCATGTCATCAGTTAAAAAGTATCAGAAAATATCATCTATCTTTTTTAGGAAAGAGTTCCTTGACTGTTTTCTTAGATCATATAGTATGACTCTAGCTAATTTATGATAATAAACTGATACAACACTAAGGACTTGTCGGGTTAGTCAGAAACCTCTAATTAATTTTCCTGCCTCTATACAGATCCAAACATCATGTAGCGCTGTCTGTGAAGAGGCTTTGGCAGTACCTGGTGAAACAAGAAGAGATTCAAGAAACTTTTATCAGAAATATATTCACAAAGAAACGGTGTTTAAATGAGGTTTGTATATGTTAATACTCTTTACTATTTGATTACTGAAATTTCATAATACATAGAATGCAACCATAAAAATACATGAACTTTAGCCGGGAGTGGTCACACGCGCCTTTAATCCCAGCACTTTGGAGGCAGAGGCAGTCGGATCTGGGTGAGTTCAAGGCTAGCCTGGTCTACACAGTGAGTTCCAGGCTAACTGGGGCTTCAGGGAAACCCTGTCTCAAGGAGACCAAAAAATAAATAAAGTACATGAACTTTACAGAATTTTTATAAAACCATTTTATACCATGAATATGCAATTTATGCTTAGAAAAGTAAGTTAAAAGGAAAGGGACAGTATTTTCCTACATCAGTATAATTAAATGTAATTAATGTACTTGGGACTTTTTTCTCATGTCTTGTGTTTTGAATTGCGTTTTGAGGTATTAATGATCAATTACTTTTAAGAGGTATTTCCCATGATTTTCATTTGATAGTTAAAAGAAGTCTGTTATAATTTAGTTGGTTTCTATATGAAAACATTTTTGACTATGTAGGTTTACTTATATGAATATGTATAAAGGAAATTTTGCAGATTCAAATTAGTTTATAATTCAATTGTAACAACTTGACTATACCTTTATATTATCACAGTGGTGGTCTGGGGGGATCATTTAGTAAAATGCTAAAAAATGCTAAAAAATACATTTATAACATGAGGAACTTGCATCTGAATATAAGTGAACATCTTCCTTCCTTCACTGAGAATGTTTGCATCTGAATATAAGTGAACATCTTCCTTCCTTCACTGAGAATGTTTGCAATTTAAGATTACCTGGTGAACCTAAATAATAGGTAGAATTATTTGTTGTTTCCTCTGGAATCCTAAGGAGAGGTTAGAAACTGTAGCAGGTCTCTGGGCCATATTTTGAGTAACATTGAACTAGTCTCAAAGTAAACATTGCACTAATTTTCGAATGGGAGGAAAAACAGAAGCTACTTTAGTTGGAGAAATAAGGAAACAGAATGACTTCAGAATACATAAGCAGAAAGCAGGATAGCTCCAAGCATTGAATAAAAGGGAGACTTCATATATAACTCCTCATCTTTTGATTAAATTGTAATCAAAAGAATGTGAATGTGTTGTTATTTACTATATGATGGATTTTTTATATAGATTCAGAGTGACCATGTCAGAGAAAAGAATATATAGTATTTTGTTAATTTAGAATCTCAATGTGAGTACCTTGTGTTATATTGAAATCGATGTAGACGTGAATGTAGTTCACATATCACTGTAATATAGTCTTGCATATTTAGTATGTGAGCTTCCACTAAAACAGTTTGAGAAAATGGGTAAATAGAATTAACAGTGAATGTGCTACAGAAGAATGGAAGACTTAGAGTGTGTTTACCAGAAAAGTATATTTTGTTTTAGCTATTTCTTTTCCTAAAATAAATTGTAATTTGCAGCTTTCTTAATGTACTTTGTAAGAGTACCGCTATATTGTTCTGTAGTTTAAAAGCTTACTTTGTTACTTTTTCTGTTAGTGTGCTTTTAACATAAACATAGGTTTTGATTATCCAAGTGATTAGGCACAGAATCATTACAAGAAATAGAGTAGTGTGACTAAGCCATAATGCATGAGAATAACAGTTAATGAGTGGATTTTTAAATTTTCTCTGTTGTAGTCTTAGTTTTGTCTGGAGTTTCATGATACTTTATGAAAAATTTAAAATAACTTTTATTGCAGTTTTTAATCAAAAGCAAACAATACAGCTTTTGTCATGTCTGTAAGTTGAATATTTTTCTGAATATTTTATAAATCTGCAAAATGGCTATTTACCTCTTTGCAGTGTTTTTAACAGCTTTAACTTAGACTGGCACAATCAATGAGTTATGAGAAATTTATAGCTTTGGCTTTTTGTTTTGTAAAGAAAAATGAATTTATTTACAGCTTGACTAAATCGGGGTAGGAGTGTATAATTTTCTTCCCAGTCCACCTGTGGCATCTTATAATTTATAGAAAGCCACAAGACAAAAGCTACAACAGACATAAGTTTAGCTGTGAGACAGAATAACTAGTCTTTCTCTGGAATGGAAGAGGGTGGAAGACCAGGACCTAGCACCAGGTGGCCTCCCTTGTCTCCATTCTCTCAGTCTCTGCCACAGAGACAGATTCCTATTCAAGCCTAGATCAAGGGAAACAAGGTCTTAAAGGTCCCACATTCTTGAAGAAAAATGTCAGGGCTTTTATGAGATGTAGGATCCCTACCCATTCCCCATTCCAGACCAACAAAAGAAATCTGTTACTGCCTTGTAATTTTATTATTGATCATGATACTCTTAAAGAAACCTTAGTAAAGGGACTATGATATGAAAAATATAGTAAAACCTATGTTAGATTTGGGCATGGGGCAGTGGGGAAAGGTACAAATGGGTAGGGGGTGGGTCTAAATACCATCAAACTGTATTGTATGAAAATCACAAAAATTCAATTAAAAATTATTTTGTCTTTACTGAGACATTGACTGGCTTATTTTGGGTATTTGCAGAATTTCCTGTCATGTATTACTCTTAATAAAATGATCATTATATTAAAGCCATTGTGCCTTTTTAGCTAATCAGGAGATAAATGGTAAACTGAGTATTCTGATGCAGTTTCTTTATCTGACTTGATTTCTTCATCATACCTTAAAGGCCTCATATATCTCAAACCTTAGCTTTTTCCAATGTAATGTAGTTTCTTGGTGCATGCATTTTAAAAAAGTTAAAATGTCTTCCAAAGTGGTTGTATTTATTTGTAAATTAATTACAAATGATTAGAGGTAAGCTATCTAGCCATTCCCAACAAAGGTTGGACTTGATAGCATCTTTATACTTTTTCTATTTTGTTTTATTTTCTGAGAACTTAAAGTCCTGAACCAACTTTTCTCTTTTGTCCTCTTTGAATAAGGAAGTGGGCCTCCAAACAGTTTATTGGCTATTTCTGACAACATCAGAAGAGAAATAGAAAGATAGAGTGATATTTCTACTAAAGAGGCTTTCCTAAGGGGGGTTATATGTTATGGAAATAAAACAGTAGTGTATAAGACAATAGTTTGGCTTTGATTTTAGTTGATTGTTGCTTTAGCATCAACATTTCAAAATAAGTGAGTAAAAGTTCTTTATACATGCAGTAGAATAAAATTCATAGTGCTAGTTAAGGAGCTCTGAGCCTTTAAGATTTCCCTCTCCCCAACCATGCCCTCTCAAACATATACTACTTTTAAGATATATAAAATATAAGATTTTATTTCCATACTCTTGAGTAAATTTAATTAAAAATATAATTTAAAAAATACCTTAGTGTTGTGCATGTTGCATCTCATCTTTACTCTTTGACGTGTGATTATTTTTTCTTGATGAAGTCATTAGAGGACAACAGTGAAACAATCAAAAATTCTATGATGGAGGAGCCAAACATCAATAAGGTACAAAATGTCATTCAACTGAAATTAAAAATTGCATTCTTAACCAGAATCCAAAAAAAGATGTGTGTTTTAGTTTTCAACTGGACTTTATTTCCAGTGGGATGAAATTATTCTCTCTAACTTACTTCATTTTGACAACTTAAATGTTGCAATCATTAAAATGGTTTCTCTTTTATTAATTAAAAGAATGCAGTTTTAAAGGACGTTGAATGTTTGCTGTGTTGGCTACTTATTTTTCTGAGTAAATATCACTGTCGTTCTTAGTGAATGTAATTACATCAGAAGCTGGAAAAGTATAATAGCATTTTTCTGTTTTTGCAAGTATCACCATAGAAGTTCAAATTTATCTTATATTAATTCCTAAAAATATAGCATTTACAATCATATAGCATTTATTTTACTCTGAAAATAGCACATAACACAAGTGCCTATTCGCATAGTAGATACTTACAGTTCTTGAATTAAAGCAGAACAGATGAGAATTTGTACAGTAATAAAAACTCCCAGGTCACCTGTGGCTACAGCACTTGAATATGACTCTTGGGTTTTTTCCCAGCTCCTCTTTCCTATTCTGTGTGATTCAGAAATTTTAAGGTACTCTCACATCAGAGTAATTTTAAGGCAGAAATTTTCTCAAAAGATTTTTTTTAAGACCACTAATCCTGCATCTTACTGTTTCCCAGAGGAATCAATTGGTAAAATAGAGCAGTTTTATGTAGTTACTGAAAGACTGAGTTGATATCAAGTGTATGTTTTACCTAAAACTGTGGTAAAAATAAATACATGTTATCCGTACTTTGAAATTTGAGAAAATACAATTCAGATTTTTAGTTAGGTAACTATTTTCCTTGCTTGAATAATGATTACTGACTAGCATCTGTATCATTTGGAATTCTTGTTGAAAGATTTTCTTTTGATACTTTATGAAATATCAGTGATCCTAGTACTGCATCTCTAAAGTCAGCTCCATACTACCTTATAATCCAGTCATTGTTTGCTACTCTCCGAACTGTTTCCAGTCAGCATTTTCAAACTAGATTCTGCTATATAGAAAATATCTTTATGGAAGAAATGCAAATGGCCAATAAATATTTGAAAAAGTATTCTATACCATTAATTGACAGGGGACTACAAATTAAAGCTGCTTTGAGATTCCATCTCATCCCCGTCAAACTGGCATTCATCAAGAAAATAAATGACCCAAATGCTGGAAGGATGTGGGTAAAGAGAAGCCCTCATACACTACTGGTACAGCCACTATGAAAATCAGTATAGAATGCCTCAGGAAGTTAGGTTTTCCATAGATTCCAGACATAACCACTGTAGATACATCCCAGGTACATCCGAGAGGACTCTTTTAAGTCAACAGACCACAAAGATACTTTGCACACCCATGTTTATTGCTACACTATTCACAATAGCGAGGAAATGGAGCCAGCCTACCTGTCCATAGAGATGAATAGATAAAGAAAATGTGGTACATATATACAACAGAATACTATTCAGCCTTAAGGGGAAGTGAAATAACATTTGCAGGAAAATCAATGGATCTGATAAGCATTATTTTAAGCAAAGTAAGCCAGACTCAGAAAGAGAAACATGTTTTCTCTCATAAGAACCTATATTTAGCAGCTGGAGAGATGGCTCAGTGGTTAAGAGCATTGCCTGCTCTTGCAGAGGACCAGGGTTCAATTCCCAGCACCCACATGGCAGCTAACAACCGTCTGTAACTCCAGTTCCAGGGGAATCTAACCCCCTCCCTGACCTCCAAGGGCTGTGCAAGACACAAGTGCACTTACACACATGCCGGCAATACACTCATACACATAAAATAAAAATAAATAAAATATTAAAAAATCGCATGTAGGTACACTTGCTTTAAAAAAAAAAAGAACCTATATTTAAATATGGGTGTGTGTGTGTGTGTGTGTGTGCGTGTGTGTGTGTGTGTGTGTGTGAAAACTAGAAAGGCAACCATGAAAGGTAAAAATATCTTAAGAGAAAGGGAAGAGAGAACAAGAAAGGGTGTTTTGGTGGCTGAACAAGCTTCTATTCATGCCAGAGAGGACACCATGGCCATGACAGACCAAAGAAAGATTCTATTTAAGTACATCCTGGCAAATCCATGAGCTTAGTCAGATTACTTGCAGGAGCCTGGGTGACTCAAAAGCATCACTGAAAAGTGCACCCCATGGGTGACAGCTTACAAGAGTGGCTGTAGAGACAGCTCCCTACCTGGCTTATAGGCATCTCACAGAGAGCCTTCTCCTTCCCAGCAATTCTTTACTGCTTTTAAAGTTTGGGGCAGGGCTTTATAAACCTTGTAACTTTGAGTTTTCCTAGTCTTGTATGTTTCATGAGCTTTCTGAGCTTTGTGAGTTTTGTTAGCTTCCTGAAGGTCTTATGTATCTCTTTTCTTTTGTCTAGGAGGGAATGTTTCAATTTGAGGACATAATTATAAAACAAAGAATAATGGGATATCTGTGGCGTGTAGGAAGGAAGGAGACCAGCAAGAGAGGGGAGCAGGAGGGGTAGGGGTGGGAGATCAGTTAGAACAAAGTATAATAACACATATGTAACTTCAAATGCTAACTTTAAAAACTAAAAATTATTAGGTGAAAAATAAATATTTAAAGTATATAGCTTGCTCAGTTTTAACAAATATACATACTAGTGAAACCATCACAACCATGAACATAATGAATAGATGAAATAGATCACCCCTCACATTTTAATACTTTTGTTAAGATTTATTTATTTTCTGTGTGTGCCTGTTTTGCCTGCATGTGTGTAAGTGCACCATGTGCATTCAGTACCCAAGAAGGCCGAAGAGGGCATCAGATGCTCCTGGAATTGGAGTTATAGATGGGAGCTTAACCCTGATCTTCCGCAAGAGCCACAAGTGCTCTTAACTGCTGAGCCAGCTCTGCAGCCCCCAGTTCTGTCTTTACTTCCCTCCCACCTCTGCCGTTTTCTTCCTCAAACAATTCCAGATTTATTCATTAACTTACATTTTCAGGAATTTTATGTAAATGAAATCGTATGTTAATTTCAGTGGGTTTTTTGTTGTTCTGATGGTGGTGATGGTTTTGTGGTTTTGTTTGTTTTTAAGACAGGATCTCACTATGAAACCTAGGCTGGCCTGTAATTTACTATGTTGACCCATGCTGGCCTCACACTCGTGGCAATCCACATGCCTCAGATGCCCAAGTGCTGGGATTGCAGGTATAAGCCACTATGCCTGATTTTAGTTTTGTTTTTTTATTAATGTCTTTGATTTAGCATAGTTATGTTGAGATTCCTTCATGTTGTATGTTTCAGCAGTTCGTTTTTAAATACTGTTGATGCTCAGTGCATTATGTGGTTGTATCATATTTTGTGAACCTTTTTAACCTAGTAATTAACATCAGTTTCAAATAAGACTGCTTTGAAAATTCATGCAAGGGTCTTTATACATAGGCTGTTATGCCTAGAGGTGGGTGGCTGAATTATATAAAAGGTATAGGTTTAAAACTTTTGTGGGGGGGTACTGGAAAGTCAAGCCAGGGTCTCACATGTGCTAGCTAGGTGTTTTAGCACTGAAGTACATCCCTAACCTTGGTATATGTTTTTAACGTTGGAAATTGTCCAGGTATTTTCCTAAGTCATACCATCTTGCATTCTTACCATTCTTACTTCACATTCTAACATATGATCTAGTCAGCTTTTAAATTTTAGCTGTTATAGTAGGAGTATAGTTTATGGTGGTTTTCATTTTCATTAAAAATCTCACCATGTGCTTTTTTTTACTTTCTGTATAGTTTTTTGAGGAAAGTGATTCTTCAAATTTTGTCTGATTTTTATTGGGGTTGCTTGTTTTCTTGACTAAGTTTTAAGAGTTGTTCATTTGAGATAAAGGTCTTTTATCAGATAGAGATCTGCATATTTGTTTTAGTCTATGACTTCTCTTTTTGTTCTCTCTACAATATCTTTTGCATTGCAGAAATTCCTAATTTTGATGAATCTAATGTGTCAGTTTGTTCTGTGAAAGCTTTGCTTTTTGGCTGTTTTATTTTAAGTCTTTGCCTACCCTAAAACCATGAAGATTTAAAATCTCCTGTCTTTTTTTATATGTTTTTTTATTTTAGTGCTGCATTTAGATCTATGAGCTACTTCAATTTTTGCATGCTATAACACATGCATCTCAGTTTCTCTCTGTGTATTGTTTAATTGCCATTTGTTGAAGACATTAAACTGTTCAGCACTATCTGTTAAAAGCATGATTGGGGCTGGAGAGATGGCTCATGGGTAAGAGCACTGACTGCTCTTGCGGAGGACCCAGGTTCAATTCCCAGCACCAACATGGTGGCTACAAACCGTCCTTAACTCCAGTTCCAGGGGAATCCGAAGCCCTCTTCTGACCTCCACGGCATTACACGACACGGGTGCACTCACATACATACAGGCAATACACTCGTACACATAAAATAAAAATAATGAAAAAATTTTTTAAAAAAACTTTAATCTTCCAGTAAATTGTCATTTCCCCATTTTTAAGAAAAGATTGATGTCTAGGTCTATTTTTGGATTCCATTTGTTCATCTTTATAGTAAAACCCACTGTTTGATAACCTTGCTATTAGTGTCAGCTCATCAAATTCATCCTATTTTTGAAAGTTCCTTTTCTTTTGGTTTCTTTTGCTTTATGAGACTGACTAGAGCTTCCTTCAGTTCAAAGCTGAGAAGTGAGAACAGACTTTTGTCTCTGTTACTAGAATAAATCATTCAACCTATCCTTGGGATTGTCTACTTGGCTCTTCCTTAGCTTCAGAAAATTTCTGTTAATTAGCTTGTTGAAATTTTTTTTGGTAATAAAAAATATTTTACTAAAATGTAAGTCTTAGGATTCTAGAGAAACCATAGGAGCTGGTCACAAGCTATTTTTGAAGGAGGAATCCACACTTCACAACTGTATTACAGTTATTAGTGGGACGGTGATATGTAATATTGCCATTTTAGGTC